GAGGCCAAGAAGTGACTGGAGTGGCAAGAGGGGATGAAGGGCAAAGGGTTTCGTGACAGAAGTACAGCTGAGAGACCATGAGACCAAATCTCTTATTTGAAAAGCCAGGTCTAGCTCTTTGCGTATTGTTGACTTTCAATCTGTTGTCTTTCCTGCAGGAAGAAGAAAGAAAAGAATTGCAAAGGAAGACAAGAAACCAAATCTCTTATTTGAAAAGCCAGGTCTAGCTCTTTGCATGTTGTTGACTTTCAATCTGTTGTCTTTCCTGCAGGAAGAAGAAAGAAAAGAATTGCAAAGGAAGACAAGAAACAGACCATTCTGGGCACCCAGGTCTCCCACACTTGACTCATTGTTTGGCTAGTGTTGAAGTCCACAGGAGGCCCCAAGTGGTTTCTCCTCCCAAGCCAACCAAGCTCTGCCACACCACTCTCTTCCCACCCAAATCCTGAAGGCTGCTTGTTATCACATTCACCTTCATTCAACATTCATCCCAAAATAGTTGCATGGTGTGTACACACAGAAAAGCATGGGCAGGGTTAAGCTCCTATAATAACATGGCAGTGGACATTTCTCAGCCATGAACCATGATGAATGGCAAAGAAAAAATCCAGGCCTGGTTCTCTCCTGCCCCAGCAGGACCAGGGCACCGCTCAACAACTCGGTAGTATGTCCATGCTCACGTACAGATTTAATGAGCCCGTTTTACTATGGGGATACGTGCCAAGAAAACCCAACTGTGTGCACAGAGGGTAAGGAAGGAAGGAAGAGGGTTGACTTGGGGGATGGGAGGAAGGCATCAGCAGAAAGTGAAGCATCTATGAAGCCATTTCCAGTAACTCCATAAATCTAGTCACTTTCCACTTCTGCTCCAGTGGTTGGCCACAACGTGACCTAAAAGTGGGCTGACCTCTCTGAAATCAACACCTCCCATAGAAATGAAACAGACGTACTTGTTTTGATGTATGGCTGGGTGACATATTATAAATATTACATCACATAACCACAGAGGATGCCAATCAATAAGAAATTTTTTCAGACAGCACTAAATGAGCCATGGGTTCTTGCTTCTGAATACACTCCTTTAAGGCTCCTACTATTGCTTAAATGATTAATAGAAGACATATTGTCAGAAAATGTACTTAAAGTGAAAAACAGTAAACTGTAGAAATATCATTCATTTTTTAAGCAATTTTCTAGTGAAAATGTCACATAAATTTACATAGAGGCCCTACTCTTAAGCTCTGGGTAACAGCTAGGAGGAAGGCAGACCTCATGCTTTGTGGATGGAGGGCCAGGAAAATATTTTACCAAAAGGAAAAAAAAGAAGGTGGCTGCATTGCTTTGTAGAAACCCAAACACTAGAACCCTGGATTCAAAAGTCTTATTGTAAAACTGTAAAATTTCTTAGGGGCAAATGAAGCACAAACTCCAAGATGAACAAAGCAGAGCTGCTTACAGACCAGAGAACAGAACTACATTATATATACATTTATCTCATCCAAATATAAGGGTGAGAGTGCTTGTCAAAAAGAAATAAAAAATAAAAAATAAAACAAATAAAAAATTTAGAATTGCTAGAGAATAGGCTACCATTCCACTCAACCGTCATATGCCGTGCAGCGAACGGGTAACTGGATGGGCACACGTTTAGTGTTCCTTCCAGTGTTCTTAGTTCTTATTTCTCTCAGAGCGTGAGCATCTTCCCATTGTTGTGGGTGACTTACGGATTTTCTAGGGTAATTGTGACCAGATGTGATTTCAGCTGTGTGTGGCCCTTAGAATCCAGCTCCTCATGGCCGCTTTGCCATATGTGCGTGAACAAACAACCTTCCCAGGCCTATCCCTCAACCGCAACAGATCTGGAGCAGTGAGGTCGGGCTTGGTGGGCACCAGTGCCAGCCCATGAGATAAATCACTCCTCTAGAACCAAGCCCTCCCTGAAGGATCAGGACCCAATGACCGGCACTTGGACTGAGTCTGAAGGATAGTCCCTTACTTGTTAACCGTGTTTGCGGACAACAAATGGATTGGATTCCAAATAGGAAGTGGGCATCTGAGATGCCCAGAGGGCCATACATCTCTCTATAAGCACTCAGCTTCTCAGAAGAAAATAATTTTCAAGCTGCCTGCAGCGAACACTTATCTGGCCCCTATTCCAAGGCCAGTGTTACTTTAGATATTGAAGAGTCTTCAAAGAGCAAGAAGACGCAGCCTGACCTACTAGAAGCCATTCTCTGGATATGGACATACATCAAGTAGTGAGAAAAATATACAAGATGGAGTACATAAAATGGCACGAGATAGTAAAGGAAGAACTGTAACAGCGTGGAAGCAGAGTATCTCAGAATGCTACAGCCAACAGAAATTTTCAACACTACTTAGTCCAATAGTCAAGTGAGCATCCAAATACCTATTGATTTTTTTGTTGCATTTGCCACTAAGTTAATCAAAATGCTTTGGATGATTCAGAAGTTCAGCCTTGGTGAAGGGTCCCTGATGTAGACTATCCTCCCCATTTTAAAGCTGGGCCCCACCTCAGATCTTCTGATCTGACCCTTTTATGGGTCTTAGTATTTTTACTGATGTGAACAGTTATAATAACAAAAAAAGACAGTATTAGCTTTTTTCTTTTGCAACCTTATTAAGACTTCTATTTGAGACTGAATAGAATATGATGCAATTGAAGATTTTCATCATTCCACTTCTCTCACTCTAGGAAAAAAAAAAAAAAGACAACAAAAATGTGCCTACAGTTTGGCTTACATACAGCTCCATAAATGAATGAATGAACATGTGTTAATGTGTGTGCAAAAACATACATAAAAGCACATATATAGAGAGAGAGAGCATGCGCAGGCATATACATACATATATAAAATTTATTGAGCTATTTTAAAGATTTAAACACATGGGGAGCCTAGGTGGTTCAGTCAGTTAAGTGTCCAACTCTTGATTTCAGCTCAGGTCGTGATATCAGGGTCAAGGGATCAAGCCCTGCATCAGGCTCCCCACTAAGTGGGGAGTCTGCTTGAGATTCTCTCTCTCCCTCTCTCTCTGCCCCTCTCCCTGCTTGTGTGTGCTCTGTTAAAATAACTTTTTTAAAAAGAATTAAACACAGAAATCTTAAGAAAAAAGTCAGAAAACAAATCAGAATTTCCTAAATCGTGCTTGGTTTACTAAAAATGTTGACTGAAAGAACTTTCTTGGACTTGTTTGACAGTTTCAAGACACATCTTGTAAATTGCTGCAAGAAGATAAAATATGTTTTAAGAGACCCCTTCATATCTGAAATCAGGCTGTTAAATGCTTCAGAGTTGATAAGAGTGTTAAAGAAGCAAATTAAGTTCTAAGTGATTAAGCAAATTACAGGGTTGATTTAGAAATGTGTAACTCTTCACCTGCTGGATATTAATCATATTTCTCCTAACAGAATTGACATTCAAACCTACAGGATCACAACCAAATGAAAATCTTCATACTGGAGAAAGACTTACTACATTTTTTTAAAAGTAGGGTTAGAGTTTTATTCTAAGATGGTTTAAAAATAGTCTCAGACCCCTACATTATTAATCAAGAAATCTAGAAAATGAGGTTAAAGGTACACAATGCTTCCCAATAAGGAAACATAACAGGATTCCTGATGTAGCTTTATGTGTCTATGTGTATGTATTTTAAAAATATATAATGTTCAATAGCCTTCAGTATTTCTAACAGCTTTGCCTTTATACAACATGAACTCCCCTGACTTCATTCCTCCATGGGTCACCACAAATTTTTACAGGAGTCCCAAGAGAACCAGTTTCTTTCAAACAATTATCTTCTTTCCCCAGTCCTTCCAAATTTATTGTCCAGTGGCCTTACCTGCCTTACATTTCCATCCTTCTTTCCTCTTCCCTTCCCACACTGCTTCAGGTAGAATGTTAATGAGAGCTTATATCATAATGAAGAGAGAGGGTAACACACATGAAAAGATCACCTAAAAATATTTGCAAAACAAAAATCAAGAATGAAGGAACACAGGATTCAAAATGAAGAAAGAAAATATAAAATGAATTTAGTAAAATGGGTAAGATGAAGGAGACTCCCTAAGAGAGGTGAGTTTGGGTCAGATATTTCAAAGCAGATGGTTTAGTAGCAGAGAAGGGGAAGAAAAGCACTTCTCCTTAGAGCCCATCAAAGCATGCGGTTGGTGGACAGTGAGGCATAGCTTTATGGAACAAAGTTATGGACCTTCAGGGACTTCCTCCTGGGATCCTACATAAGCTCCCTAACTCTAGTGGGAAGTGCTCTCTCTTTAAAAGGCAACTCTGAGGCTGACCACAGGAGAATCTCACAACACAGAGTAGGGATAAACAAAATATAGGCCATGGGTCAAATCTGGCCTGCTCCTTGTTTTTGTAAGTAAAGTTTTATTGAACCATAGCTGGGGCACCTGGGTGGCTTAGTCAGTTAAGCATCTGCCTTCAGCTCAGGTCATGATATCAGGGTCCTGGGATCAAGCCCCACGTCGGGCTCTCTGCACAACAGGGAATCTGCTTCTCTCTCTGCCTGCCCCTCTGCTGGCTTGTGTGTGCTCTCTCTCTTTCTCTCTCTCTCTCTGTCAAATAAATAAATAAAATCTTTAAAAAAAAACAAACATAGCCATGCTTATTCATTTACAAATTGTTTATGGCTACTTCGGCATTGTAACAGCAGAGTTGAATAGTTGTGACATAGACCAGATGACCTTCAAAGCCTGAAAATATTTATTACCAAGCTGTTTACAAAAAAAGTTGGTCAACCCCCACCCTACACCGCCTAGCAGCTTTCCATGTTTCTTGGTTCCTGTGACCTTGATGAAGGGAAACCATGGCTATCGGTTACCAAAAGGTTAAAGTTTAGTATTATCACAGGAAGTCCACTGATACTTACCAAACACCTACTATGCATCCCATAATATCATGCCCCCAAAAGATGCTCTTTCTCCCTTTCCCACCGTGTTCCAACCCCTCAGTACTCACCTGTATCTCTTGTAGTCTTCCTCATCCTTTTCTAAGCTGACCAGCTCGTTGGGACAGGCCACGTTACCCAGTAGGCTGAGGTACTCCAAAGCTGGTGTCACTTCTGCTAGGTGATCAAGCAGACACTCCAAGTCAGTGATGTGACAAAGGTTAAGGATTTGGGTCCAGGGAGACAAAAGGCCTTGTAAGGAACATAGACTATAACTGGCAGGCACAGCACAACACCTGACAAGTCCAGTCTGCTCCCAGGAGGTGACATGGGGGAGGGTTGGAATCAACTTAGCTGTGAGGTTATCTGGCATGGCTAGTTTTTCACTCCTGCTGGGGACACAGCCCAACTCTTCTCTGGGCAGGTAAGACTGAATCCAAATCACTTGAGAGAGAATGAACTTAAGTGTTTATCACCCTTTTCTTTTTCCTATATGGTTCTTTCCATGTGGTATTTGTAAATCCATAAAACTGTTTTGTTTTTCTTTTTTTAGTAACGAAAGCAAGAAATTATTTACAATGCCCTCATTAAAAAATAGATTCCCCTTTTGTCCTTTAGGGGGTAATTTATCATTAAAACATACAGGAATGGCATGGATGCAAGCAGGGATTGGCATCCTGTTATGATCTAAGGACCTGGGGTGGAGCTAAGCATTGCTCAGTAGCCTCACTGGTGACAATAAAGTACTGAATTAGGGGAAAAGGAAAACAAAGCTAGGAGAAGACAAATGGAGAAAGTTATTTAGTCAAGCCAGGCAGGTCAAAATATATTTGAGGATGAGAATCTGTTGTGAAACTAATATTCTATGAAGGAGAGAATGAAAGAGAAAATTCCAAGGAAGGGCATGGTGGGGAGATTATGCCATGATTCATTCCCTCAGTGGGATCCACTGGTCGATCAAGGCAAACATTGAGACCCCCCAAACCAAATAAGTCAAGAATCATAGATTCAGTTACAGGTATTAATAAGGACTTAATGACAACCTAGCTGTCACATCAATACATATGGACTCCTGGCTTGAGCTACATGCAGAAGAACTAAGCCCTAGGCAAGGTGATGACTAGACAGATCATGAGCGGAGGCCATGACTACCAGAAACTTATGGAAGAGAGGTGTCAGCCAATATCAGCAGATGGAATGGGGTCTTTGCCAGGGAGTAACAGCAGAGCAAAAAGGGACTAAGCATATAAGAGTGAATGCTGCATATAAGAGTCAAAGACTCGGAATATAGTGTCTAGGAGTGAGGTCTACTTGGCTTAGGAAAGGAAGGTAAAACCAAAGAAAAGGGATGCCCTTACTCTATCAGGATGTTATCTAACCATGGGATGTTACCCCCATTTCCTTACATTTCATTTTAACTTGTCAGTTGAACACCAAATCCAAACAATGTCAGAATCCATTCCCTAATATATGTGCTTAGGGGTCACCAAAAAGTAGCTCATTCTATCACAGACAACCATAAGAAAGAGACTTTCCCCTGGGACTGAGCCTTCCACAGATTCCTTCCCACTGACCCAATTTAACAGTTTGGGGTCTCAAAGAATAAGGCATTCTTCTCTTCCACACGACGACCCCTCAGATAGATGGAACTCACACGTCTTCCTTAAATCTTATATTCTCCAAGCTGTTGAGCCTTCTTTATACACGGGCTCTGAGAACATCCTATGCAAGAACAACTGCTATCCTGTGGGATTGAGACAGAGACAAGGAGAGGGACGGCATCAGCAAAAGAGGGAAACATTAGTGCAAGGGGGTCAAAGCTGCTCATCCACTAAGGGCTTCAATTTGCCAACACCTTCCCCATTTCCTAAACAAGGCTGGACAACGGACATGGAAGTTATCAGTCCTTCAGATCTTGAACAAATAACATCCAGGAATAACCACAGTGGACCACTGGAGTGAGGAGGATAGAAATAGGAGCACATGGAGAAGACAAGAGAGAAGGTGCTACCGGGCTGGGAAGGTTGGAAGGACACATGGGTGAGAGGCCAGGAGTCAAAACAATAAAGCATTTCATCACCAGAGGCAAAACATCCTTAGTACTGTTCAAAATAAAGTTCAATCATCAACCCCTTTAAGAAAATCATTTAAATAAGACCAATTAAAATGACAATGAACAATTTCAAGGAAAACTTGGCTTTTCTAACAGGTTCTAACTCTGTATGCTTCTCAGTCATTGCTACATTAGAAAAAGGGTGGCTATTAGCGCTGCCCTTAGACTCTGGCCAAAGGCACCTCATGGGGCCCTATGCTTTGGAGTGACTTCCTCAAAATGTCTTAAGTCTCTGTCTGGTATCCAGGAATCACCAGGGACCAAAGTGTCATTCAACTGGGGAACCCCATGCCTGGACTTGGACCTGCATTGGGCCTCAGTCCCAGTCCTGGTTTCTCCCCTTCAGGGTTTACTTCAACCCTCCACCCCTCACAGGGGATCCATCAGATGTTCCAAGGAGCAGCTGGACTCATGCCTATCAGGCTGTCCAGGCCCTATGCCAGGGGGGCAGCCAGACAAGCTGATCACTCCCACTGGCCAGCACAGTGTTTCTTCCAAGGGACTGCGAGACAGAGGGCTGCCAAAATGGTGCTGACGTATTGACCTGGGGTGATTCAAATTATTTATGTAGACAATGGCCCTAGAGAACCTAGGGGAAGCCCTTTCCACTGTGGATGAAGAAGTCCAACCAAAACCTACTGCTCTTGTAGGGACAAACTCCTTAAACTTTGGTTATTTTTCATCTACTGTATGAAGCTGGGAATGTGAAGGAATGGAACTCAAAACTGGCAAGATTTTTAAGTTGAGGAAATACGGGGCAACTGAGCTGGACTGAAATCCCAGTTATTTCTCAACATTAAATGAGCAGTGATGGGCAGCGTCCCATGCCACTGTCCAGGGAAGCAGGCTTCATATGTAAACTTACCAGGGAGCTAATAAAGCTCATGTGTGATGGCTCCTTGCTTACACAGGGCCCTTGCAGGGATAATACAGTCTCAGGGTCATATGTTTTTATAAAATTTGCAAAAGTAGGTTAAACTGCAGTCAGTTAAGATCACTGTTTCTCTCCACTAAAGTGTGTGTGTGTGTGTATAGTGTATAATTTATATAATTACATAATAAAGTTATAAAAGAATTGGCAGGAAAAATGTTTTTATATAGGCATGTCCAGTATAAAAAAATTTGTTACTTTTCTAAATATTTTTATATTTGTGTTGTCAACTTAAAAGTTTTTAATTTGCTTTGATATATTGTATTCCAAATAAACATTCATCTTCAAGCCTAATTTTGCATTCATAATAAAGTAGTCTTTGCCTTTAAGATGGTATCCCCAAATTATGTAAGTTTCACACTCAACAAAATCTGGATCTGCCCCTGAGCTGGAGGTTGTGGAAATGTGGACTCATTCAAATGTCTTGGTGATGGAAATTTCTTGGGCAAAAGGTCTATAGTCCTCAAGAAGCTTCAGCCGTCATGTGTCAATGAACTCAAGGAAAGGAGCCTGCCTCATTTAGGGTATTTTGAGTGGCAGAAGCTACCCCCCTTCTTCAGGCCTTTCAAGTACCTGCTAAATGATCACCTGGACTAAGTTAAGTGGTCTCCCCCAAATCCACACTAGTCAGAAATCACTAGCACCTACTCCATGGATGCTCTGGACCAGAACTTCATCACTATGTTGATACCACCACCAGAGGATAAAAGACAGGAAGGAGTTTTAATTGGTTTCTGGGTCTCCCGGGTCAGCAAGGACAAACACAGCCCTGCCTTGCCCGGTTGGGAGCTCTGAGATAGAATTTGTCGCATTCTTGCATAGCAAATGAACCAGAGGCAATCAGCAGCAGGAACTTGGTGTCCCTGACTCACGAAGACCAGGGCAGTAGAGATACTTTCAGGGATGCTTCTAAGGGTGACATTTTTCCCCCCATTTCTAAAATGTGAAGCTATCTGGCACAGTTTCAACTTTCTTCAGCTGGATTCTAGCATACACCTGGCTTCCCTCATCAGATCTTCTCTAGAGTACTTGACAGTGATATTTTTTCTCAGTGTTGTCTCCAGAAAGTTGCCATTGCCAAGTCCAGATGTCATAGGTTCGCTTGCCAAGGGAGACTTTTTGCAGAGGGCCCAAGATCAAAGCAACATCTTGCCTTGAAAGTCTGGAGCATGAAGGAGGAGAGGAGTCTTCTGGTGTCATGTCCAGTTGCACAGGTCTGAAGCTGTTTCCCAGGTGAAAATGGGCATGAACCCTCCCTCTGTGCTCAGGCCCAGGTCAAAGGGCAGCCCCCATACCACCTGGGAGGGTTTCAACCAGTGCTTATCCTAATATAGGATTTCTGAATACTAACTACACATTCTGCACAATATATTCTCATTTTGATTCACAGACACATCAGAAATATCGCATCTAAACAATAATTTAGGAAATGGGGGTCAAAAGTCACTTATTCAGTAAATGGAAGAGTCTAGATTCAATCTGAGGTTCTAAAGAAATTGCATTTCTAGGAGACAAGTGACTCGTGATTTCCTAACACAAAAAGGAATTTAAAATACTGAAATATGAGGAGTCCTATACGCTTTTGTGGTACTATCATCCAGCTGTGTTCTATACTCAGTTACTTCCAATTTGGGCTTATTCATTTAAAGCGCTGAGACTTCCACTCCCAGTAAAATGTACCAAGAAGCTGTAAAGGCTTTGGGTATTAACAAAGTTACGTCCCATGTATACATTATGCCATTTAAATCTGTCAACAATACTCTAAAGTGTCTATCGCCCATTTTACAGATAAAGAAACTGAGGCCCCAGACAAGGCACAGAGAATTGCCTGAGTAAAACATTAAATTGCTGTGGGAAATCTCGTCTGGCCTTGGGCTCAGCTCACTGGTCTCCTCACCACAGCCCAGCTGTACGACACGTCACACTATCCATTCTTCCTGTTGGTACTACAATATACACTGTCTCTTCACATCTGTGCTGAAGCAAACAGGTAGACAGGAGAGAATGAAGGAATTAAGTGTGATGTAAAATGAAGTCAGCTTCTCACCTTTCCCCCACCCACCCAGAAAGGGAAAATGGGGGAGAATCATTTGATTGTGCAAAGTATCTATCTTTTCCTGACATTTCAGGTATTCTGTTATTTGGGGTTGGGTATTCAGACA